TGTGACTTTTGGGTGAGAGGGGGTGGCTTTAGAGCCCACCAAGTTGTTACTTTGCATCAGGCGGCCCGCTGGATTGCTTTTGTCCCACTTCGCTTACAAGGGGGGGGAGGGGCTGCATAGGGCCTTAAACGCAGCCGATCGGTAAACCCGCTGACTGCCTTAGCATTGATTTTGCAAACAACTTGACCGTGTACGTCAGAACTCAATCCAAATGGGAAGGTTGGTTTTACTTCTTCGGTTGTTTGAGGGTATCTGCGAGTCACTTTGGCTATAACGTGATCTAACCTTTGAACTGGTCATTAGGCGTACTGAAACCTGACACTTGTGAGGGAAAATGGATTTAGATTTGTTCCCGAAGTGGATGAAAAGGAAAAGCCAGAAAATCCCTTCAAGCCTTCCGGCAGTCTTAACTGTGCTGATGGCAGTTGTTTCAAATCGTGTTTGCCTTTGCACCCATTGACCGCTTGTCATACTGAGTACCTTTTGTTTCCTCTATCACTAACCGCTTTCGAGTGAGCAGTCCATGTCTGATATTTAATATGGAACATATTTTCGTCTAAGAACTATCTCAAGTGACCGGTGTTTTCGAAGTCCCATGGGAAAAGCTTCTATTCAGTCCTGTCAGTCCCATATAGCGCCTTAAATTCGTTCAGATAGACTAATTTTTTGACTTGGTCCTTCTACGCTCCCTTTGTTACTTCCATTTAGTTTGACCTGCCGTGTTAGTCGGATTCAGCGATTTAAGCGTTACGAAATATCTAATATTAAAACAATTCATACCCTGATGTTCTGCGTTTTGGACATATTAAAAGTGCCTCGCATGGAGAAGCTCAACTGAAATCCAGGTCTCTGTCTGTGAAATTTCGTTGTGTTCGAATGTGCGAGTCTTGCGATCGCACTGCGTGCCATTATTCCGTGAAGTTATGGGCTACATTATTACAAGTGCGCTGAAATTCCCATTTGGCGTCCATCGCAGTCAGTCATTAGCCTTGCAAACTAC